AAACAGTATGTATTATATATTAATATTTTTAATATATGTTGTTAAAGTTGAGTAATTTGATTTTTCTAGAAGAGCTTATAGTTAAAAAGGGAGTAGTATTCTAGTACACGACGACGACAACATTACGTTTTGGGCATGCATCAAAGGCCACCAATGGCTAGCTTACCACCAACAATTACAGTTCACGACGAAGACAAGCAAATTACGGAGAGTCACTGTCAGAGATCACACTCCCACTCCAAAAACAGAGCACTGCTGCGTTTCCACGCGGATGCCGTGCGGTTCAAGGCACCCGCGCAGAGAAAGCAGAGCCCGTGGGGCCCGCCACGCCTACGCCATGGACTTGCCGCCACAAGCAACCACTCACTAGTCACTGCTCCACTGCCCACTGGCCACTGCTCTAGCAGCAGCAGTTAATTATAAATAAAATAATAGTTTTTTATACTTCGATGCCCCTGGCCCGCTGCACGGCCGCCCACGGGTCTCCCGCCAGTTCCCGCCCCGAGCGCCCAAAACGGCGCGTCTCCCGCCACTTCCCGCCCCGAGAGCCCGAAAAGGCGCCACGGTAGGCCGAGGCCCGAGCCCCGAGAGGTGTAAAAGGTAACGCCGTCATATCACGCTGACGGCAGCGCCGGCTGACGCCGTGAGGCCTGTCGCCGTCACGAAGTCCTCGCCCTCCCACCACGGCAGGCAGTCGAACTCCGCCGCCGCCGCCTTCGACGGCGCCGTCGCAGCGCTGAGGTCGCCGAGCTCACCAGAATAGAGGAACTCGAACGCCGGCAGGGCGGGTGCGGCCAGCACCTCGTCGGCGGCGTAATGGAGAACGGAGGTCGGCGACGCGAACAGGCAGACCAGGGTGGGGCCGTCCACCGCCTGCGGATCCAGCGACACGGGCGCCGCCGCCGCCGGGGCCGAGGGGAGAGCCTCTCCGTCTTCTTCCGCGGCACCCTCCGCCGTTTCCAGGGGGGTCTCCCTGCGAGGGCGGAGCCTCATGTGCGACCAGGGGGAAGAAGGCGCCTCGGCGGGGAACTTGGCGACGACGTGGGAGCGCTTGAGACGGAGCGCGGCGTCGTCGTAGGCAGCGGCGGCCTCCTCGGCGGTGTCGAAGGTGCCGAGCCACAGGCGCTTCCGCTGGCGCGGGTCGCGGATCTCCGCCGCGAACTTGCCCCACGGCCGGAGCCGCACGCCCGGGAAACGCCGCCGGAACCCGGCCCCCGAGGCGTGGCGCCGCACGAGCGCCGCCTGGGACGGCAGTGGCCGCTTCTTCGGGAGCACCAGCGCCTGCGCCTGCGCCGCCCGCGCCTGAGCTGAGGCGGCCTGCACGTCGATGTGGATGACCTCCCGCACGCGCCGCTTGGCGCGCTCGTCCTCGTCGCCGGAGGAGTGGTCGGTGTCCGTGGCGTCGGCGTCCACGAAGTAGACGCGGACACGCTTCGGGCGGGGAAGGGGCGGCCCCGCGCGGCGGCTCCGGCCGGAGGTGAGGGAGTCGGCAAAAGACATCGCCGTAGGCCGGATCCACCGCCCAACCAAGAACCTCCAAGAAGTCCCCAAAAGCCTCGCTCAAATCGAGCAACCTAGAACCAAAATTGCGCCCCAAAAAGTAAAACTTTCCAGAGACCAGCATGAACCTTTCGAAAACGAATAGATTTGGAGGCTTTGTAGGGGTTGATCTTCACAGATCTGCTACCGCTCCCAGTGAGCTAACGACAGCAGCACACACCCAAGTCAGAGCCGGTCAAACAAAAGCAAAGGGAGCCCAAGAATCCCCACCACCCAAAACCTCAAAATCGGAAATGAAACCTATGAAATTGGGCTCGAGGATCCTCCGTTGCGGCTACCCCGGACAGATCGCGGCGAGAAGCCAACAACGCGAGAAATTTTTTAGTATGACGCGAGGGTTTAAAGAGGGTTTGGCAGGGAGGTTAAGGGCGGGAAAGGAGGGTAGGGTAGGAGAAGCGGTCTATATTTATGGCAGAGGTGGAAGCCACTACGGCCCCCCTCGCTTGTCTTGTTGATCTTTATCACTCCTGGATTTAGGCAGGTTTTGCCCGTTCACTCGGCTGACAAGCTGCGAATGAGGCGCGTTTAGCAAAAAAAAATTTTTTGGTTTGGGTCACTGTTTTACGATAGCATTTTCGTTTGTATTTGTTAAATGTTGACGAAATTAAAAACTAATTGCACAGGTTTGGAAAGTTTGCGATTTCTCATTTAAGCGTGCAATTAGTTTTTTTTCGAATATATTTATTACCAAATAAAGACAAAACAACATTAGCGAATCGGTCACCTCCGATTGGCGCCGGCAAAATCACTGCAGCTGCATGAGTGGTATTTAGTTTGAAAATTTTTTAATAATTTTTTAAGATCGTCGTGTCACATGAATCCAAACGCGTATCTCATTAAATAAAATAAAAAAATAAAAATAATTACAGTTAGTTTTTTTTTCTCATCAACATTTGAATCTCCATAAATATAATTAAATTATGATGACACTAATTATCAAATCTTTTTTCACCAAATTCGCCAAAATTTGAAATTTATGGTAAAAACACTCCCTTTGATCACTCCTGGATGACCAAACGAACGGGGTTTTACCGTTGTGCCCCGGGCGTGACTCCCCCTGCTCCAGCACTCCAGCTGGATCTTTCTGACAGCGAGTGGGGCACAAGAGCACAGGACCAGATGCCTCGATACTTGGGGGCCGTCTGCATCGAGGTCGAGGAGTACGGAGTACGATTTTTACGCCTTGTTTGTTGGAGTGAGATTCTTCTGATCTATCACATCAAACAGGATCACAGATTAAATAGATGCCGAAAATAAAAACGATACAGTTTGGTGGGGAGGCGAACGTCTAAGTCATCCATGTTTGAATACTATTTACCAAATAAATTTTACTGTCAAAATCCAAATTCACCCAAAAACAAAAAACCAGTCAAAAAAGAAAAACCGCAGAAGGGTTTGCAGGGGATTCTGGTAATCCTATGTGCTTGAGAAACAAGGCTACTGATGATCAACGATATTATCCGCATCTCCAGAACCTCACCAATAATTTATCCTCAATAAAATGGTATGATAATTTTGTCCACATGACACTCATGAAGAGTGGATTTGTGTGCGTGATTTTGTGCATTTTGTCTCCAACACAACAAAACAAATAAAATGACCAGCTAGAACTCTCCATCCCCTTCGCATTTCTCCCTCTACTAATCTTCTTTTCTCCTCCCACGGCCAACAATTGTGTTGACTTCGACCAGGCATGTGATCTCTCTTTCACTGTTCACTACGTCAGCTCTTGATTCCAATTGAGGGCGGCACGCTGTTGCTACTGCAGTCCGAATTAACAAGAAGTGACTGTTCTTTTTTTTCGTCAAAAGATCCATCATTGGCTTGTATTTATAAGTGGAGAAGGAGAGTATACAACGTATGAGCAGCACAGATTTTACAAAGCTTCGAGTTCTTGACTGGAATGCTTGTCACCTTCAAAAATAATAGTCTAATTTACACTTAAAAAATAAAGACAACTGCTCAACTTGGAAGAAAGAGATTTATCAATCTAAAGATTTGATGTGGTCTATTCTGTGAGGCGCTTGTTTCCTACATAACACCAATTCGTGATTAACAATTTTTTTTAGGAAAGTGATTAAGAAAATTTTGATAAAGTTTAATCAACAAAACTTCTTGAGAAATGTTTGGAAGGGGAGGACCGGGGAAAGAGTCAAGGGCAATATGGTCCTTTAACTGGGTGTGGTGCGTTGTGGACAAATACAATGCTTTGCAGTGTGTTTATGACTAATTCAATGAGTACAGTGTGCTGCACACAAATCCACTCTTTATGAGTGTCCTGTGGACGGACAATTCTCAAATGGTATTGGTAATCATCAATACTACTTTTTAAATTATATTGGGGGAGTTACTACAGCACATTACCACTACATCAACCCTGATACACGTCTGACATATGGAGCCCGCATGTCATTAGTTTCTCCTACCTCCCTCCATCTCTATCTCTCTAGAAGTGCCGGTGGCGGCGCCCCTAGCCGCCCGCCGCTGGCCCTCCACGCGGCGAGCTCCTCCACAGTGAGCCCATGCCAACTCCTCCACGGCGAGCTCCACAACATCACAGATCTCGTCAGAAGGAGGGAGATGGAACTTGTGGGGAAAGATCTCGTGTGGTTGCACGGCGAAGTCGAGCGGAGGTGCCGCCGCCGACAGTGATGGAAACCGAGGAGTAGGCGCCTTGGCTGTCAATCCGATCCGGGAGGGAGAAAAAGGACCGTGGCCATGGCCACCGATGCAATCCAAGGGAGATAAGAAGGAAAAAAAAAAAAAATTAATTAATATCTGACAGGTGAGTCCCACGTTTTAGAGAGATTTAATTGTGATATGGTCAAGCATCTCCTCCAATCCCCCATTATTGTAAAAAAAAGCACTATGGGTAATCATCAATGCCATCCTATCGGGGATGAATTTTTTGTGAAATGCTAGAGATGCTCTAATCAAGCTACCGTTTGGATCCTTAGAGATTACAACCTAATCAAATTTATAGATGTTTGATAACATGAACCTCCTAGTGACACTTTTTTTTACCGGAAGGAGCAGGTGACTTCCTTTTTGACGAAGCGAGTAGCTGCTGGGATCAAAATGTCCTCGTTGCTACAGAAGTGGACTGGAAATTCTTTTGTGCGCCGTTGGATTGAACTTGGATGCGTGCTGATGGACCCACCATTCATCGATGCCATCAGGTGCAGTGCAGTGCAGTGCCATTTCTCTGCCCCCGACTCATTCCTTGCAACCTCTTCGGCTCCTTCGCCTCCCTCGGCCTCCTGTCTCCCCGACTCCTCGCCGCTGGTGAACCTGCTGGCGGCTTCCAAAGGAAGGTGAGGTGGTACCCGCCGGGAGATCTCCATTCTTCTCTTCGCACTGCCGCCGCCTGCTCACCCCTTATCTTGTGCTATAGCGACTTTGTCCCACAGAGCACCCCCGCCCGCTGCCTGTTCGACGGAATGCCTAAGGGGCCAGCGGCCAAGGAACCGACCAGTCCGGCCGGCGCCGCCGCCGCCGCGGGTGACGCCTTCGCCGCCCTCCCGGACGAGATACTGCAGCACGTCCTCTCCTTCCTCCCGGCGCAGCCGGCTGTGCGGACGTGTGTCCTGGCTCGGCGCTGGCGCCGACTCTGGGAGGGCGCGGCGGGCCTGCGCATCACCGCCGCCAATGCGCCCGAGCCGCCGTGCGCCCCGGACGACCTGGTGTCCTCGGGGGAGCTTCGGGAATTCGTGGACCACCTGCTCCTCCTCCGTGGCGGCGCGCCGCTCGACAGTTGCGAGTTCTTGTTCGATGTGCGCGACGACGTGGACGTGCCCTACGTCAACCTCTGGATCCGGCACGTCATCCGGTGTCAAGTTCGGCGGCTCATGCTCAGTATCACCCGGGAGAATGATGTCAGGGGCCTTCATTTTCATGTGGACAACCTGCCTCTTGTCTCACGGCACCTGCGGAGGCTAGAGCTGTACGACACAAAATTGAATGACAGCTTCATTGATTTATCAGGCTGTCCGGGACTGGAAGATCTATATATCAACAATGGTGACTTTGACCATGCCAAGAGGATCTCGTCTAAATCTGTGAAGCACCTGAGTGTCATCGATTCCTCCTTCAATGAGCAGATCCGCACTATAATTGATGTCCCAAGGACTATTTCACTGTGGCTAGAGAACCCATGGGACGGGACTCCTGTGCTTATGAGCATGCCATTGTTAGCAGTGGCATTTGTCAGATTTGGCACCGATTGTATGTCGTTGGATGAGTGTTATAATTCTGAATCTGAGGATTGTGATGATGAGCACTGTCAAGGGTGTTATGGCCTGGAAGGTGATAATTTTAACGGTAGCACTGCCAATGTCGCCAAAAACAAGAAATCTGTGCTTCTGAATGGTTTATCAGGAGCTAAGACTTTGGTCTTGACAGATGAATCCCAAAAGGTATACTTACGTTTTATCCTTTAATTCGTTTTATATATTACATGTCAATGACTCATTTCTTCAGCAATATTTATATCGATTGTAGAACATCGATGAATCTCATCTATACAGACATTTGTGTTTTGGATATATTGCCACTAGGTGCGTTCTTAAATCATTATGTTCACTGTAAAGTTTGCCTGATATTTTTTGTTTGTACTTTCTCCAGTTCATTTTCAAACGAGATGTGAAATGGTGCCCCATGTTCAGAATGTTAAAGACTTTGTTACTAAATGAATATTGGTGTGTGCCTCCTGACTTCCGTGAATTAGCTTGTCTTCTTGAACACTCGCCAGTTCTAGAGAAGCTCACTCTTCAATTTTTTTCCAAGGTACATTTATTTTCTGCATGACAACTGTTGCTTACAGTATTTTGTTTCATCTATTTATCTTGATGAAATGTTTTTACCATAGGGACCTGAACATAAGTTTGAAATTATTGGAAGCTACAGTCAGATGGAGGGATCTGCTGCAATATCAGAAAACCTTAAGATTGTTGAAGTCAAATTTGAAGTGGCTGATGAGGGAGTTCTGAAAGTTTTGATCTTCCTGCAAACACTTAACATAGGTTTTGCTTTCTATATTTCTGCAAATTTGTGATCGTATTTGAAACTAAAGCAAGCTGAAGAAGAATCTCCTGAGTTTGTTAGGAAATTATCAAATAAGAAATAAAATTGTCTATAAATGCTCTTAATGTTTCTGCAAATATTATTTACAAATCTATGCATGTAGGTGTATTGATAGTGTAGCTTTAAAAAAATAAGTGAGCACAAAATGTCAACTTGTATATTTCTGAATTATTGAATAATTGATAGTGTATGCCTTACGAGTGGAGGAGAAGTATATTGGTACCGATCTACAAGAATAAATGGGATATTCAAAGTTGTACTAATTACCGGGGAATTAAGTTGATGAGCCATACTATAAAGCTATGGGAGAGAGAGTTATCGAGCATCGCTTGAGAGCAATAACGCGGGTCTCTATGAACCAATTTGGTTTCATGCTCGGAAGGTCAACCATGGAAGCCATTTTCTTAATAAGACAAATTATGAAGCGGTATAGGGAGAAGAAGAAGGACTACACATGGTTTTTATTGACTTGGAGAAGGCTTATGATAAAATACCAAGGAATGTTATGTGGTGGGCTCTGGACAAACATAAAGTCCCAATGAAGTACGTCGGGCTCATTAAGGACATGTACAACAATGTTGTGACTAGTGTTCGAACAAGTGATGGAGACACGGATGACTTCCCGATTAGGATAGGACTACATCAAGGGTCAGTTTTGAGCCCTTATTTGTTTGCCTTAGTGATGGATGAGGTCATAAGGGACATACAAGGGGACATTTCTTGGTGTATGCTTTTCGCGGACGATGTAGTGCTAGTTGATGAAAGCCGGACATGAGTGAATCAGAAACTGGAGTTATGGCGGGAGACTTTGGAGTCCAAAGGTTTTCGACTTAGTAGAACTAAAACTGAGTATATGAGATGTGACTTCGGCACTACTACTCGGAAGGAGGAATATATAAGTTTGGAAGGTCAAATAGTGTCTAGGAAGGATATCTTTCGATATTTAGAATCAATGCTATAGAGAGACGGGGATATTGATGAAGATGTTAGCGATAGAATCAAAGCAGGGTGGATGAAGTGGCGCCAAGCATCTGATGTCCTATGTGACAAAAGGGTACTAAAGAAGCTAAAAGTCAAGTTTTATAGGACGACGATTAGACCTGCTATGTTGTATGGTGTAGAATGTTGGCCTACGAAAAGACGACATGTTCAATAGATAAGTGTCGTGGAAATACGTATGTTGCGTTGGATTTGTGGTCATACAAGAAGGGATCGAGTTCGAAACGATGATATACGTGATAGATTAGGGGTAGCACCAATTGAAGAAAAGCTTGTCCAACACCGGTTAAGATGGTTTGGACATGTCCAACGGAGACCTCCAGAGATATCGGTGCGTAGTGGAATCATAAATCAGGATAGTAACGTGAAGAGAGACAGAGAAAAACCGAAGTTGACTTGGGGTAGAGGCAATAAAAGGAGACTTGAAAGGATGAAATATACCCAAAGACTTAGCCTTAAATAGGATTGCTTGGAAAACAGCTATTCACGTGCCTGAACCTTGATGGCTTCTGCTGGGTTTCAACTCTAGCCTACCCCAACTTGTTTGGGACTTAAAGGTTTTTTGTTGTTGTTGTTGTATTGATGTCTTGCTTAGTTCTCAATCAACAACATGTTCGTCCCAAAATGTTGAGATCTTGGTCAATAGAAATTGTTGCCCAAATCAGTTTTTTCCCCTTGCATCATGCTGCACTTTCCATAAGTTAAATTGTTGTGCATCAAGCTCTACATATTCATTTCTAGTTTTCTTGCCAAGTGACTCAAATTTGTTGTTTCTCATATGTCACCCCTGTTACTTGTGTGTGAACTTATTGTGCTTTTCATATTTGCATAGATTTCAAAATTTGACTAAGAAGAGACTTTGGTAGAAGATGTATCTACTACCTCTTAATTGCATCAAGAAATGGAAGGTTGAATTTGCTCTGGCAAGGGTTCTGATGTTTTGTATGTGAACTTTTTATGTTGCTTCTGCTTGTAATAAACTAGGACTACAACTTAATCGGAATCAGTATGAGCTGTTTAGGGCCACTGAGATGGGCCTTGTATACTGTGCTATGTTCGGTTCTGTATCTATCTCCTGTTTATGTGCCAAGGACAATGCGTTACCTTTTTGTGGTACATTAAACTTGCTGATTGTCCTCCTAATGATCTAATGTACTGTTCCTTGGTCCACGGCTTTGTTCCTCGTCCTTTGTGGCTCATTGGCAAGTCAGTTCATCGATGAACCTGTACAGTGTGATTTGAATGTGAGACGGCGTGAATTTGAATGTGCCACTGAAAACTATAGTAATCATTTATCAATGGTAATAAAGGGAAGATATATTTTTGGACGGCAATGAAAAAATTTATATAGCTTCTAGTCGAAATAAAGGAATTCTTTCTTGAATCGACGGATGGTCCTGTCCATTTTTGGAGTTTTTACTATATTTTATAAGCACGGAATGTTAAGAAGTGTTAAGCACGCAGTAACTCAAGTGGGGTTAATAACATTCCCATTCGTAACGAAGTACTCCTGCTGCTAGTGCCATTCTCCATTTACGCTATACACGATGCCTTTGATCAAAAAGTCTTCTTAGATTTTATTTTGTTAAACGGAGTTATTTTTGTTCAACATCTCCACCTGCATGTTTCCTTAATCATTCACTCTCTTCCGTACCCATACATGTTTCCAAACATGATGCAGAGTCCAATCCAAAATGAAATTGAAACACAGTGTTTTCATGGTCTATCACACTCTTGGTGCCCATATTTAGAACAATATGTCCAAACATAGAGTGGAGTCCGATCTTAAGATGAATTGAGATACACGATCATTAAATAAATCTCTAAAGCTCACATGCTCATACTAGTTATAGAGCAGCACACGTCCGGACATCAGAATGCGTGTTAGTGATCATTGAATGAATCTCTGAGCCGCGAGTCAAGTGACTGTGATTATGCAACAAGCTATATATCCCCTCACATCCCCTTACAACGGGTGAACATATTTGCTAGTGGATTCTGAAACCTACCAACGGACAGAGAAGCCTGGAACACTTGATCTGGTGTGCCCTGTGAAAGTGCACCTTCTTATCATATCATATCAGTAAATTGATTATCTTTACAACTCTGCCAACCACAATCCAGCTGCCCAGTTGGGGGCAGCAGAAAAAATGGGCAACAATTTACTCCGCAGGACGGTTGCTCAATCAAAAGGCAACTCCTGTTTACATGAAAATGGTGCTCCGGATCTATCTGCTCGTCAGAGCTCAGCAGGTACGGAAACAGATTACAGGTGATTTTGTGAGCAAAAAGTAGCCGATCTGTGTTGGGGTAGACATGTTACATGATGTACGAAGTTGGTCAGAACTCAGCATATACGCTTCCTCCAGCCTTTTTAGTTACAAGCTAACAATTCTAGACAGCATGTACGCTTCCTCGAGCTCCGCGGCCAAACCATCGTTAGTTTCCTGCACTTGATAGCAGATGTTAGTAAAGCAAAAGAAATGCTCCATTTCAGGGCTAATTTTCACCAAGGATATAATAAAGATGAAAATGAGTGGAAAGTATATATGTTCGCTTGTTGGTTTTAGGCAGCCCAAACCAGCCAACAGTGTTTTCCTCTCACAAAAAACCAGCACCAGCCAGCCCAAACCAGCACCAGCACCAACCAGTGAACAGGCCCATGATCTTGATCTCCTAGTCCTAAGCTAATAACAAATTTTCATAGTATTAGTGTTTCTTGCTTGACATCAGGTATCATACCCGTAAATTCATCACATTTGTTCTTGTTATGTAGTGGTCCAATGCACCATCCCCTCGTAGAATTTTAGCCCCACAACCTGGCCTATCAACAGAACCAATCGCCTCCTCATCCACCACAACAGCGTCTACTCGCTCATTTCCTGATTTTTCATCTGGAATCTGCTTAACAGGAGATTCAGAATGCATGGTTCAACTTTGCATCTTGTTGTGTAACAGTTCAAGAGGCCTACCTCATACATGGCCTCCAATAGAACAGTTTCCAAGATGGCTCTTAAACCACGAGCACCAGTGCTTTTAGCTATCGCCTTCTTAGCTACCAATCTAAGTGCACCGTCAGTGAAGTGCAGCCTAACCTGATGAACCAAAAGGTGTAATATAAGATCAGAAATTGATTGATACAAGATATGGTACAATAATAAGTTTTTCTGGGCTCACTTTGTTCAGGTTAAACATTTTCCTGTATTGTTTGGAAAGTGAATTCTTCGGTTCTGTCAGAACCTGAGAGCAGATAAAATCATTTTAATGAGCTTCAGCATGCAAGAGACCTTTTTTCATGAAAATCATGTAAGAGCTGCTTCTTGAATAATTAGTTTTCATCATCATTATAACAGCTGAACAAACTACCTGAACGAGCTGACCTTCATTCAGAGCTGCCAAACTTACTAGAATGGGCAAACGACCAATGAACTCTGGAATTAGACCATATCTAACAAGATCACCACTCTCAACCTGCCAATGCAGTTGGATTATCCAGTTAATGAGTATGCAAGGAACAATTATTCAGACATGAAAGACTCATAGGATTGATGCAAAAGAAATCAACCATATGCTTACAGATTCTAACAAAGATGAGGTAACCATTGGACAGCTAGCTCCAGAACTTCTCATGTTTGTACGAACGGGTGCCCCAAATCCTATAGATGAATCTTGGCGCCTGATTCACGCCAAAAGCTAGGGTTCAGTTTCTGTGTGAATTTCTTTGGAATAACCTATCTACACATGAAATCTGCAATACCTTTCAGAAATAGTCTTTTCCAAGTCCACAAAAGCACCACCACATATAAAAAGAATATCTGTCGTGTCTATCTGCAGTATCATGATTCATGAGATTCTGTTACAGGCATGTCGCACTGAAAACAGTGAAGTACCATGATGGATTTACAATGTCCACAATATCTAAGCAAATACAGAGTGGCAAACATATACTCCCTCCGTCCTTAAATACAAGGTATCCAAGCGATTTTTAGATAAAATAAGAATCCTGGCAAAAGACCATCTTGCACCTCACTAATTAGGATGGAGGGAGTAGTTCAGTTGTTATTTTCCTTAATTATTGAGTGGTTGTTTTGAGTGACGCCAAGTTTAAAAGGAATATCAATATTTGCTACCAAAAAGGACAAAGGAGAGAGGGGGCTGAGGACCCAGAATACTTGTATTTTGGTACAACTTTTGAACTCTGGATCCCTTATATTTTAAGACGGAGGGAGTAGAATATTTATGCCTTGCACATTTTTAACACGACCAGTGTGTTTGTTGTTATCTGATTGTCAAGAAATGCTTTTGAGGCAACACTTCCTCTGTTCACTATGTACTCTAGTACAGAGTCCTTATGACATAAAAATTAAAGAACTTTTTTCATCTAATTGAATCCAAATTTGACCCATATAATATACAGTGCATGCATTCATTAAGGACCACATAGAGTATGTAACCTGTATACTATCATTGCGAGAATTCTTGCGTGATCCTTTCTCAGGAATACTGACAACCTGCATTAGGAATACGAATAAGTAGGCAACATACAGAGGATCACTATTGTAGTCTCTTGAGTCTTGACGGGCAGTTAAAGTCAATCAAAGATTCTTATAAAAAAGCCAATTAAACAGCCTGTTCGCTTGTTGGTTTCAGCCAGCCCAAACCAGCCAGCCAACAGTGTTTTCCTCTCACAAAAAACCAGCACCAGCCAGCCCAAACCAGCACCAGCACCAACCAGTGAACAGGCCCATGATCTTGATCTCCTAGTCCTAAGCTAATAACAAATTTTCATGGTATTAGTGTTTCTTGCTTGACATCAGGTATCATACCCGTAAATTCATCACATTTGTTCTTGTTATGTAGTGGTCCAATGCACCATCCCCTCGTAGAATTTTAGCCCCACAACCTGGCCTATCAACAGAACCAATCGCCTCCTCATCCACCACAACAGCGTCTACTCGCTCATTTCCTGATTTTTCATCTGGAATCTGCTTAACAGGAGATTCAGAATGCATGGTTCAACTTTGCATCTTGTTGTGTAACAGTTCAAGAGGCCTACCTCATACATGGCCTCCAATAGAACAGTTTCCAAGATGGCTCTTAAACCACGAGCACCAGTGCTTTTAGCTATCGCCTTCTTAGCTACCAATCTAAGTGCACCGTCAGTGAAGTGCAGCCTAACCTGATGAACCAAAAGGTGTAATATAAGATCAGAAATTGATTGATACAAGATATGGTACAATAATAAGTTTTTCTGGGCTCACTTTGTTCAGGTTAAACATTTTCCTGTATTGTTTGGAAAGTGAATTCTTCGGTTCTGTCAGAACCTGAGAGCAGATAAAATCATTTTAATGAGCTTCAGCATGCAAGAGACCTTTTTTCATGAAAATCATGTAAGAGCTGCTTCTTGAATAATTAGTTTTCATCATCATTATAACAGCTGAACAAACTACCTGAACGAGCTGACCTTCATTCAGAGCTGCCAAACTTACTAGAATGGGCAAACGACCAATGAACTCTGGAATTAGACCATATCTAACAAGATCACCACTCTCAACCTGCCAATGCAGTTGGATTATCCAGTTAATGAGTATGCAAGGAACAATTATTCAGACATGAAAGACTCATAGGATTGATGCAAAAGAAATCGACCATATGCTTACAGATTCTAACAAAGATGAGGTAACCATTGGACAGCTAGCTCCAGAACTTCTCATGTTTGTACGAACGGGTGCCCCAAATCCTATAGATGAATCTTGGCGCCTGATTCACGCCAAAAGCTAGGGTTCAGTTTCTGTGTGAATCTCTTTGGAATAACCTATCTACACATGAAATCTGCAATACCTTTCAGAAATAGTCTTTTCCAAGTCCACAAAAGCACCACCACATATAAAAAGAATATCTGTCGTGTCTATCTGCAGTATCATGATTCATGAGATTCTGTTACAGGCATGTCGCACTGAAAACAGTGAAGTACCATGATGGATTTACAATGTCCACAATATCTAAGCAAATACAGAGTGGCAAACATATACTCCCTCCGTCCTTAAATACAAGGTATCCAAGCGATTTTTAGATAAAATAAGAATCCTGGCAAAAGACCATCTTGCCCCTCACTAATTAGGATGGAGGGAGTAGTTCAGTTATTATTTTCCTTAATTATTGAGTGGTTGTTTTGAGTGACGCCAAGTTTAAAAGGAATATCAATATTTGCTACCAAAAAGGACAAAGGAGAGAGGGGGCTGAGGACCCAGAATACTTGTATTTTGGTACAACTTTTGAACTCTGGATCCCTTATATTTTAAGACGGAGGGAGTAGAATATTTATGCCTTGCACATTTTTAACACGACCAGTGTGTTTGTTGTTATCTGATTGTCAAGAAATGCTTTTGAGGCAACACTTCCTCTGTTCACTATGTACTCTAGTACAGAGTCCTTATGACATAAAAATTAAAGAACTTTTTTCATCTAATTGAATCCAAATTTGACCCATATAATATACAGTGCATGCATTCATTAAGGACCACATAGAGTATGTAACCTGTATACTATCATTGCGAGAATTCTTGCGTGATCCTTTCTCAGGAATACTGACAACCTGCATTAGGAATACGAATAAGTAGGCAACATACAGAGGATCACTATTGTAGTCTCTTGAGTCTTGACGGGCAGTTAAAGTCAATCAAAGATTCTTATAAAAAAGCCAATTAAACAGCCTGTTCGCTTGTTGGTTTCAGCCAGCCCAAACCAGCCAGCCAACAGTGTTTTGCTCTCACAAAAAACCAACACCAGCCAGCCCAAACCAGCACCAGCACCAACCAGCGAACAAGCCCAAAGATAGCTTCTAAACTCCTAATTCTGCAGCCACAAAATAAAAACGCAATTGTAGTCACTTACAGTTCCTTCTAGGATTTTCAACAATGCTTGTTGAACACCTTCTCCAGATACATCTCTACTAACATTTGCACTCTCTGCCTGAAACATGGTACCGTTTAGAAATTTTAAAACTAAATAAGCTACCCAAGAAAAAATTAAAAGAATCAGTACCTTCTTTGTTATTTTATCTATTTCATCTATGTACACTATCCCTTGTTGTGCAGCCTGAACATTATACTCAGCAGCCTGAACAAAATTTAGAATGACATGAGGATTCTGGAATAGTATTTTTTCCCCTTCTTTTTCCCCTATTTGTGAATCTATATGAACAGATAAAAGGCAATTCAACAACTAGAGTAAAGGCACATAATAGCCAGCCACACTTACCACAAGTAATTTCTGCAGTATCGACTCTACATCCTCCCCTACATATCCAGCCTGTATAATGCAGCAAACTTTAGTTTTGGTTCCAACTCGAACTCACACATTCTAGTGTAACTGCATATATCCAATTTCTCCATATAGCTTCAATACAATTAATATAGCCACAGGTGCACAACAGCTGAATATGATAAAAGGAGGACCAGATGCAAATAATAAAGAAAAATGCCAGTTCCCAGTATCAGAATTACTTTTCACTTAAGCTCAGAAGTTAGGTGTAACATATGATGCTGAAGAATTTTGTGAAATGAGAAACTAAAATAGTGAAAGAACACAAATAAAGTTAGCAGCAGTGCATGTTTTGAGAATTTTCAGAAATCAGTTTATTGCATTTCAGTGGGGCTCTTCCAAGACATTCTAAAGAAAACAATGTTTGTAAGTCAGTAATGAACTTGCCTGCGTTAATGATGTTGCATCAGCTATAACGAATGGTACATTTACAATGCGTGCTAATGTTTTTGCAAGCAATGTTTTTCCTGTCAGCAGATAGGATGGAAAAAGATTTGACTGTCAGCTCCAACTTATAGTAACTCTAATTATAAATGTGCAAAGCGTCCTCGAAGCATGGAAGGTATGCAAGATATTTTTTAAAAAAATAAAGGAATACGAACCTGAGCCAGTTGGGCCCATTAGGAGTACATTGCTTTTATCTATTTCTACAATATTTTGATCATCATGTCCAGCGTCAGGAAGCCCAGAATTAGCAGCAGATCTAGATACAGCATCAACACATACATGCGAGAAAAAAGAAGGCATGACATAGCAATCAGCAAATTAAATTTACATGCAACAGTATGAGTCGCCCATTGCAAATGTGTAACAAAGCTTAGTAGCTTGTTTATGATATTGCAGAGATATGTTCAAAAAAGCAAAGCTAAGGCAGGTAAGTTAAAGGACAGAGACTAACTCTTTCTGTACATTTGCATTATATATTCTCTTGTAATGGTTGTATACAGCTACAGATAGCACCTGCAAGGAAAAAGTATCTGTAATAAGCATGTGAAAACTATGTTTGCTCTTAGAAAAAGGATCATGGTGCATAAGCATTTACGTATTTAACTCCACTCCATGATTGAAAGGAATCCTGCTTTTAGCAACATATGTCACCAATTACTTTCTTTTCAACTAAAAACTAGTGTGGAAATTGGTGACACATGTTGCTAATTGCCACCTACTCCCTGCCCTTTTTTTTGGGTGGGGGGGGGGGAGGACACTAATAACTTCTGCTAATTTAGTTCACTTATCCGTAAGGACACAGATATCTCATACACAAAAAATAACTGCATACTGTAATCGAGCTATTGATTGTATCAATAAAGCCATCTGGTTTCCACGTTAATTTTCCACAACCAACTGTAGAAACTACGGGAATCCATAGCAAACCACCACCCAAAGTCCATCCATCAAGATGTGAAGTTACTACGTAACTTTTAACATCAGAAATTTGAAAAAGGGGCACAATGCCAATATTAGCATAGGATGAACGATGAAGAAACTGTGCTTGTTGCCTTGGGTGATGGTGACGCATTTGCAAAATTCCATCATAGCTAATCAATTTTCTGGCAAGCCCAATCAGATATCTAAATCACATAATAGAAGTCCCATCAGTTCAAAAGGGCGCATTCCCTAGTCTACGGGTGTTTGGTTCGCAGCCTCCCTTGGGAGTCACGGCCTGGCAAGCACATCCAACCCCAGGTGTTCAAAATCAAACACTTGGCATCGCTGCCTGGTCCAGACAAGATTTCCAAGGTCCGAAGCAAACACCCCCTATCTGCATGTTAATCAAACATTCTCAGTTTAATGCCAAAGAAGCAGGAACTGAGATGCCTTCCATGGTCACCTACCATTCTGCCACAACAACCATCTCCATCTGTACCATCTGCGTGAAAACCAGAAACTTTAATATTGAAACCTGGAAGCAGATTGAGATCCATTGAGGGTACTACTGATTCGCATTCACACCAAACATCTCGAAATTCGCCAATTCAGAGTTAAAGAAACCGCACTGAGCTATACGGTCTAGGCTCTATAGCATCGTTTCACTCAACTGGAAGGCCCCGTTTAGTTCTCAAAACTAAAAAATTTTCAAACTGGAATGAATCTAAGTCACATTTTAGTATTAAAATTCTAATTGCACAGTTCATCGAGAAATCATCTTTTGTAAATAGTCCATAAGGCAATTTTTACCAAATAACAACGGGACATAGCAGCTAAAAAGCCAAAATTTTCGGAACTAAACGCGCCCTAAGTCACATTTTAACCAAAATTCGCAGCATTGTTAAAAAGGAAGGCAGAAGTGGGGACATACGGGACACCTTTTTTGCCTTGGCCTGGCCGATGACGAACTCATCAAGCCTCCGGCACATCTCCCGAGGGGTTGGCAGCTCATCGCCGAGGCTGGCTCCACCCCACCACTCCCTCTTAGGCGAAGCGCTAGTGCCCTCCCCTCCCGAGGACGAGTCCCCGCCGTTACCGTTACCGCCACCGCCTCCTCCTCCTTCCTCCCTCTGTCTCCTCCGCAGCTTCCGTCGCACCGGATACCGCGGCATCTGCATCGGGGGCGACTGCGGCAACGGGGGGAACTCGTCGGGCGGGCGCTCCGATAACATCATCTTGATCCGATCGGCGAATCCTCCGCTCTCCGCGTCCTCGTCGTCGGCCCCGACGCCGCCGGGGATCTCGAGGAACGCGCCCCGCAGCGGGTCGATCCGCTGGGCGCGGAACAGGAACGCGCCCCGGCAGGCCGGGCACACGCCCGCCCCGTCGTGGTTGTGGTGCTGGGCACCATCTATGGCCCCGGCAGCGGCCGGAGGGGGCGCCGGGAGCTGCTGGAGGGAGAATTGGACCGACATGTGGGCGTCGCAGCGCGGGCAGTTGGCCTCGGCCCGGATCCGGCTGCTGCCGCTGCCGCCGGAGCACCGCCGTACCGCCGAGGCGGCGAGCGGCACCGCTGCATCCCGAAGCTTCGTGAAGGTCCGGAACATGGCGAAGGTGGGTGGGTTGGGTAAGGGGCGGAGCCGGAGAGGAGGACGACGATGCGGAGGTGGAGGATGGTGGAGATAGGGAGGACCGGAGGAGGAAGTGGGAAGTGGGTGAAGGTTCCTGGTTTTATACGACCGGAGGTAGTGGGAGACTGAGATTTGATTGGGGAATCTGCGGCCGTCGGATGGCGCGACGTGGAGGAATCCGTAGGCGTCGGCTCCTCACCAAACCATCCTGCGGCCCGGAGCGGTTAACGGCGGGAGAGTGTCGCGGTGGGGTGGGGCGGGGCGAGGGAGGCCGACGTGTGGGGCCACCGGTTCACGGGAGAGATCCTCTGCCATGTGGGGCACGTGAGTGGGGCCAGCCATCAGCCGCTTGCACCAGATGCGGAGGAACCTTATCTGCCAGGGATGTGGGCATGCCGCATGGATGGGGCTTGCGCTTGCGCTTGCGTGCCCGCGAGGGTTGCGCGTCATCGCCGGGACGACCGTCATCCCTGGAGATGTGCCGTGCCGGCCGGAAGGAAAGGGAGAAAGAGCTTCTTTGCATGGCCTCTCATGTCTCGGGGCTCAGCAGCTGCTTAGCCACGTCTCTTTTTCTTTCACACGCATGTGGAAGCTGGCAAGTTAGCGGCTGCACAAGGAAGCCCATGCATGTTTGGATTAGGAATGGATTATAGGAATAAAAAACACCGATAGAGTTTGCATTGTCTAGTTCATCAGAAGCTAGAAAAAGGAAACTAGTGAGCGCCGAGCAGTCGCTCTCTTGAAACGGAATTCAGGGAGGGAGTGTGTTTAATGCCTAACACTGATCTACATTCATGTGCAAGTGTCAACGTCGGGAACAGTACGAGTAAAGCGAAGTTTTCGCTTTCCGATGTGGAATGAATAGGAACCAAGAAGCATATCCGAGCTGAGCCATTCATCATTAAATAAAAGATGACAATCTGGCCGGTATATATATTCGCTTTTCCTTTTTTTTTTTTTTGTTATAGATAGACTACCACACTTGTATTTTTTACATCACGTGCACGCACATGACATGAGAATACTGGATCTCGATCCTCTGGGTCCAATCGCATGTTCGTAAACCTGGATTAAGAGAGTGTCTGTTAGACGACGCATCCACTTGGCCCATTTTTTTTTTTTTTTTATGAGGAACATTGGCAGTTGGACCACATGGCATGCGTGAAGGGTTTTTCTTTTTCTTTTTGGAGATGAGAGTGTTGTATTTGTTAAGTAATCACGTTACCAGCGGTAAAGATCTCTCTCTTCGTTACACGATCACCCAAGCCAAAAGTAAGAACACAGGGAGACACAAAGTTGTGGTGGAGCTTTTCTCTTTATTTTTGATTTTTTATGATCATTTACAATGGGGTGCTCCTCCAAATATATAGTCTAGTAAATACTCCATATACAGATATGGGAGTTTTATAATTTGGTATGAGTCCATATCCTTCTAGGACAAGGAAACCTGGAACTTGCTTAAACTAGTCCAGACTTTTCCTAAAGTGTTAGTTTTCTAACACTCCCTCTTGGACGAATACCACGACATATATGATTTATCCTAAAAACCCAATGGGAAAAAAGAATAAAACATATACACCGTACTTATGTTGCACACATTGCCTCATTAAAAACCTTTAAATGAGAAACCTTTACATAAAAGAAAAAAACTCATAAAGGAAAAGAGTACAATGTTTGAATAATCTACTAGACTACTGATCATTCTGCTAGAATGAATTGTTTTTGTCTTCTAGACACAAACAGAAACTATAATCTCAATTAAGTTTCCCCCTTAAGCTCTGTACTTCTCCGAGGCGTCTCAAACCAATGCCACGCACACACTTTTCAAAAGGGCTTGCAAGCAAAGACTTAGTGAACATATCTGCTAGATTGTCACATGATTTGGTAAGAGTCACTGAAATTTCTTATTTCTTTTGTAATTCATGCGTGAAAAACAATTTAGGCCAAATATGCTTCGTGATATTCAACTTTACATAACCCGTTTGTATTTGTGCAACACAAGCCGCATTATCTTCAAAGATAATAGTTGGGGAATTAACAATATTTATACCACATGCATTTTGCACATGTTGTGTGATGCATCTAAGCCAAGTGCATTCCTTAGCTGCTTCAAATAATGCTATAATTTCTGAGTGGTTCGTCGAGGTTGCCATCATCGTCTGCTTCGTCGATTTCTAGGAAATCGCAGTACCACCACACAAAAATACATATCTAGTCTGAGATATTGCATTATGCGGATCAGACAAGTACCCTGCATCGGTATAACCCACTAGACTTAAATCTTGATTTTTCCGAAAAATAACCCAAGATCTTCAGTACTTCTCAGGTATCTGAGAATATGTTAAATGCCCTTCCAACGTCGGAGAGTAGGAGCTGAGTTGAATCTTGCTAGGAGATTAACAGCAAAAACAATATCAGGCTTACTACCATTCGCTAGATACATTAAGGCTCCGATGGCACTCAAATATGGATATTCATATCCTAATACTTTTTCATTTTCTTCTTTTGGTCTAAAAATGTCCTTTTGAACATCCAATGATCTTCCAGCCATAGGTGTCCTAAGTGGGTATGCGTCTTTCATGTTAAACTTATTTAATACCTTCTTGGTATAAGCTGACTGGTGTACAAGTATCCCTTCATGGGTATGCTCAATCTGCAGACCTAAGCAATACTTAGTCTTACCTAAATCTTTCATTTCAAATTCAGATTTCAGGTAAGAACTAGCTTCCTCAATATCCTCTGTGGTTCCAATGATATTCAGATCATCTACATAAACAGAGATTATACATAATCCCTTGTTTGATTTTCTAATAAACACACAAGGACAGTCTTCATTATTCATGAATCCCTTCTTTATGAGATATTCACTAAGCCGGTTATACCACATCTTACCGGATTGTTTAAGGTCATATAACGACCTTTTTAATTTTACACTATACATCTTATGTTCTTCTTCTTTAGGGACTTTAATTCCTTCAGGGACTTTCATATATATTTCAGTATCCAATGACCCATATAAATATGCGGTCACAACATCCATTAGTTTCATCTGCAAATTCATATTTACTGCCAATGAGATTAAGTACCGGAATGTTATTCCATCCATAACAGGAGAGTAAGTTTCATCGAAATCGATGACGGGTCTCTGCGTAAACCCTTGTGCTACTAGTCTCGCTTTTGTATCGTACCACCATATTGTTCTCGTCTCTTTTCGGACGAAAACCCATCTGTGACCTACTGGGTATACTCCTTCAGGGGTGAGGCCTACAAGACCAAACACAATTCTTTTATTAAGCGAGATTAATTCTGATTTGATTGCTTCTTTCCAATTTGACCAATCAAAATGCTTCTTGCATTCTAATATAGATTTCGGCTCTGGATCTAGATCAACTTTGACAATCTTTTCAGCAAAATAAATGTCGACATTAGTAGTCTTTCTTTCATAAGTTACTCCTGTTTCAGCATAATTAGTTGAGATCTCTTCTATTCTCTCAATTTCATCCAGATTACGCTATTTCCCGGTGCGTTTAGATCAGGAATTTCCGGTCTGCCCATGTGAGTATTAGTTGTGCGCACATTCTCACAGGGTACAAGTTCTACATGAAGTCTCACTTTAGGTGTATCCACATCATGTGGTGCTCTAAGTGGAGCTCTTTCACCTTCTACGGGGTTCTTTGATTTATTCTTTGGCTCACGTTTACTTCTCTTGAGGCGTCCCCATAGATATTTGTAGGAGTTTTAATATTTGATTCATTCTGAATTGATGCACTCGGACTCCTCCTCTTCCTAGGATTTGAGGTAGAAGATTTCAATTGAAATGGTTTTGACGTATCCTCTTCAAAGAATATATATTCTTTCCGGTGCATTTACTGCTGGTATATGTGATTTCATAATCCCCTTTGTATTGGTGAAGGCTTCAGGCAGTTGATTAACAATTCTTTGCAAATCTATTATATTTTGAACTTCTTGTTCAGTCTCCCTAGTGCGGATATCCATTGCATGAATTCAAGTGGTTTCCCAATTTATTTCTCGGCATTCGTCCCTAGAGAGGTATTTTCCTCCCCCTAATGTCGGGAAATGGTCTTCATTAAAAATACTATCATCGAAGCGAGCCTTATGTAGGTCCCCAGTTGTAGGCACTAAGTATTTTATAATTGACGGACTTTCGAACCCAACATAAATTCCAAGTTTTTGTTGGGCACCCATTGCAGTACACTGAGGTGGTGGTATTGGAATGTATACAGCACATCCAAATTTACGCAGATGGGAAACATTAGGCTCTTTGCCATGCACTATTTGGAGAGGAGAGAATTTATTGTAAGCAGATGATCTTAGTTGTATGAGTGAAGCTGCATGCAGCGTGCCCCCAACATGTGGTCGGCAGCATGCAGTTTTGTAGTATTGGCCGCGCGATTAACTTGATCCTCTTAATTAATGACTCTGCTAGGCCATTTTGAGTATGCACGTGTGGTACAGAATGTTCCGCTTTGATTCCCATTGCCATACAATAATTATTAAATACTTTCGAGGTAAATTCTCCAGCATTATCCATTCTGATGGATTTAATTCGTTTATCTGGAAAATTTGTCTTTAATTGTATTATTTGTGACATCAGCCGTGCAAAAGCATGATTTCTAGTGGATAATAGGCATACATGACTCCATCCACTAGATGCATCAATCAATACCATGAAGTACCGAAATGGCTCTGACAGGGGTGTAATTGGTCCACATATATCACCCTGGATTCTTTCCAGGAACGAAGGCAATTCTGCTTGAATTTTTAAAATTGAGGGTCTAGTTATAAGTTTCCCCTTTGCACATGCTAGGCAAAGAAAATCTTCTTGATTTGGGAATTCTTTAGTCTTCAGGTTATGGCCATTAACATTTTTAACTATATTCTGCATCATACGAAGTCCAGGATGTCCTAGTCTATCATGCCAAGTTCTGTATGCTTCTTGGTTCTTAAAGATAGTT